TCCACATTACCCCCTTCAGTAGAGAATCACAGATATTACTTACTGGTACATATCTATAATAATAAAAGTATAATATGCAAATCGACTGAATGGCTGAACAGCAGATCGACCATTCGGATGACCTTCTGGATGAAGCCAGGGCTGCAAAGGCCTACTCTTGAAAAATTTTGTGCATCGAGCCTCTAGTGTGTGTGTGTGTGTGTGTGTGTGTGTGTGTGTGTGTGTGTGTATAAATATTTCATATACTTACTTATATATATATATCTATATATACTAGAGGCCCTGTGCACAAAATTCGTGCACTGGGGGTGGGGGAATCGCCCTTAAGCCCAGCCTGCACCATCTCTCAGTCCAGAAGCCCTTGGAGGATGTCCATCAGTTGGACATCCTTAGTGCTGCCACGGAGGCTGGAGTGACTCCCGCCACCATGGCTGTGCTTGCCAGTTCTGAGCTTGGCTTCTGGCTGAGCAGTGCTCCCAGTGTGGGAATGTACTGACCACCCAGGGGCAGCTCCTGTGTTGAGAATCTGCCCCCTGGTGGTCAGTGCACATCATAGCGACTGGTTGTTCCACCATTTGGTCGATTTGCATATTAGTCTTTTATTATCTATATATATAAAAAGCCCAGTGACTGGAACACTGGGACAATTGTAATGACTGTAATGACAGGTAGCTATGACATGCATTGTGGCAGCCAACTGGCCTGATTGGGGCCCCGACCGGCACCCCTTTCCCCTAACCATCAGCGGCCCCTCCCCCTGGCCAACCCCACCCCCTATTGGCCCTCCAACCCCAATTGGGCAGGGCCAGCCAGCCAACTCTGCCCACAATCCCTCCCCCCTGCCAGCTCAACCCCTATCAGACCACATCGGGGCAGGCAGGCCAGAACCCACCCATGCACAAATTCATGCACCAGGCCTCTAGTACACACACACACACACACACACACACACACACACACATATATATATATATATATATATATATATATATATATATATATATATATATATATATATATATATAATGTATCTCTATATGAAAAATTTACCTTTGATATATCAGGGATCTCATCATACTCTATGCATCACTTTTAAGGTGTTGTGTTAACATTAAAAAGCTTTTTGCTACATAACTCCAAAATTGCATAAAGAATACATAAGGCTACTATTCCCTCAAAACTGGTACTGACCTTTCTAAAGTATTATATTAGCTAGAAATAAACATTGAGAGTTCAGACCATAGAAGGGAGACTCACTGAGGTGAAACAATACAGATGACCAGACATGTATTCCTGCCTTAGGGTTATAAATGCTCTTCAGAGATCTCCCGAGAGTCAGTTTGTCTAAAGATGGGAACAGCAGGTGATGAATGCAGCTTATCAGTCTTGGAAGTGGGTCAACTCCTTTAGAAAAAATTTGTGTGTGAAAGAGTGTGTGCATGTGCACACGTACCTATGTCCTAAGAAAGTAAGTTAGAGATGCCGACAGGATCTTTAAGTAGCTGTTGTAGGCAAAAGGTATTTCAAAACTTAAGGTTTTCCTAGCAAAGAAATCCTTTTCTATTTACACTGATACAAACACACAAAAATCACCACTCAGAGCCTAATGTGAATACGTGCAAGATAATTAACAATACAATGAAAGACTTCCCTTCTCAGTCCATCTCCCTCTACTTGGGTGACCTATGACACACTCAATCTCAGCTGCATGTCTTATATTGGAGATGACAATTATAATAACAATAATAGAACATTTTCCAGAATTACTAAGGGAAATTACAAAGATAATGTTTGCAAATTGCATGGCACAGGTACCTGGTCTACATAAGTGCTTGTTAAGCACTGGCTGACTCTATAATAATTTGTATTCTCTTAGTGTGATTGCACTGGGAATTGCAGTAGGCAAAGGTGAGCTTTACGTGTGGTTTATAAAAAAATTAAAAATACATTTTAACAAGTCTTGGAAGATACCTTGTTTTCATCCAACAGAAGAGATCAACTTGCCTAGCTCACCTCTCTTTGCAGGCTTGAAGAACTTGAAGTAGTAATTATAACAAACACATGGGGATGTTATCAATATATTCATGGACTTTTTTAAAAGGAAGTGGATATAAAGTACCTATTGGAAAGCTTTTGATGAAAATGTCTATTTTTACATAGAAGTCCAACCTGTTTTTCAGACATTGTTCTTCATTCCTCTTTAGTGTTATTTTAAAATTTTGAGATCTGATGAGTTTTAGACTGAATTCTATCCTGTCATTACACATGAGACATGGCAAGAATTTTGCATAATCATTTTTTGTTTCTTTCTGCTTTTCAAAGGGAGAGACATCCATCACTGAAAATTTTAAAGGTGCAGAAAAATATCAAGAAGTACATGCAAGAGGAGCAGATTTAATTTTATCACCGAGAGGGACATGATAACATTCTAACACTCGAGGCACCTGCACACAAAATGGTGTTAAGGAAGCAAACATTCTTATTTTTAGATTTAACTTGTTTTACTCCTCTATTACATTTTATTTGCTACTCTTGGCATAAAAACACACAGAAATATGAAAAATGTGTAATTTGTAGAGAAAATAATACTCCCTGAGAAGCACAGTACTTAAAATACAATTATTTGCAATGCTAAAAGGAATGCATGTTTGAAAGCATTGGAATTATTCTAAAATTATTCTAAAATAGGGAAAAGATAAGACAAAAGTTCCTAAAAGTGAGATCCGTTTTACCAGGCAAGGGACTCAGCATGGGACAATGCTTTTGTGCGCCTAGAACGAAGCTGGTCGAAATATTCGAACCTATGGGTAACGTTGCAATGTCAAGGAAATGGACTGAAATACTGAAGGGTTTGTGCAGGTTTGATGACCGAGTTCCACGGCATAAGCAGTGCATTAGCCGCAGTGACATACAATCTCCCCCTGATAGGGCTCCCAGCAGCAATAAGGCTTCTCTGTCCATCGCAGCAAATGGATCCGACATGACAGTGACAAGGGCAGCCTGCACTGGGTGACCTCCACCGCTGAAGGGCGGAAATGAAGAATGAGGGGAAGCATAGATAAATCTCTGCTGGTTCCCCTGAAACAGGTGTGCTGAGAGGGACCCGCCAGAGGGCTCCCGCCAACGGAAACCCAGGCCCCTCGCGCGCCCCCTGTCGGTCCATGCGAAGGTCTCACTCCTCGGATCTTGAACCAAGATTTGCTTTCAGTCCAAAATGACATGCCCATAATTTTGTTCTTACTGTGCAAACACTATGTCAGCAATCTCTCTTCAAGGCACGAGCTTCTCACTATTCATACCGGTATCTACCACATTCACTTGTCACCAAAGGCCCCTATGCAAACCAGTAACAAGCACACAGGATTCTTTTCTTTCCCCCCTGGTTAGAAAAAGAAATGCAGCATAGCAACTGCTTTTCTCCTCAATTCCCAGCAACAAACAGAACACGTTTAACCTCAATCACAATGTCAAAGGCATGGAGTGATGGACAGAGGCTCCAGGGACACATCCTGCCTTTGAAAGCTGCATGGTCGATGCAGGACACTACAATTTGGATGTAAAGAACTCTCTTCTCTGTTCTTTCCCAAACACATTTACCTACTGAGCTACCTTTATCTTGTTACTGCTTCAATACAAGTTCTTAAGAGAAACAAACGTCCTTTCTCCCAATATACTGGGAAGCATGAACCTGCATTAGGAGCAGATGCACAGGGGGTTTGTGGGCAGCACCCCAGGTGAATTTAATGGTTACTCACACTCACATGGTATCCCTTTATTTTTAAAGTAACTAAGTAACCATAGATTTATCTTTTTTATTCCTAATCACTTTTCTTCTGAGGCAGATCTTATTTTCCCGATGAGAAAACTAAAGTCGGAAAAGGTAAATTACTTGCCAAGATCACTGAGCTAGTATCAGTGTAGTTAGTACTCCAATCCTGGCCCTCTGTCTTCCCAGTATTCCATAATAATGAGGGATGAGCGTTGTGGTAGAATTTTAAACTTCTTATTTATAGTACAGTAATATGGTAACAACAAGAAGACAAAGGATCCATTACAGTCTACTGGTTCTTATGGATAAACTGTTAAAAAATAATTATGCCTTGCCCGGCTGGTGTGGTTCAGTGGTTGAGTTTCGACCTATGAACCAGAAGGTTATGGTTTGATTCTTGGTTAGGGCACTCACCCAGGCTGCAGGTTCTATCCCCAGTGGATCGTGCAGGAGGCAGCTGATCAATGATGCTGCCTCATCATTGATGTTTCTGTCTCTCTCTCTCCCTTTCCCTTCCTCTCTGAAATCAATAAAAATATATTCTCAAAAGTAATCATGCCTCTATTTTTGAAATTTAAATTCTGGGAAGAAACAGATTCAAAGAAAAAGAATTTTTCTTGTCCATGAGAGACTGGAGGATACTGAGGAAGGATAACATTCTAGTAATGAAACATTCTCTTTCCTTTTCATTGCAGTATATTGTAGGTTTTCCTTTTCCACTTTCATTGCAGAAAGGTTTTACAGAATATATTAGAATTCCCAGTGATTTCCAGGAACCAAGAAGGCCAACCATTTTTCCAAGTTTCTAATTAAGCCGCATATTTGAAAGAAAACAGAAACCAAAATTTGAAGCCCATACATCATGAGGACAACTTAGAGATGCCTCATGGGAAGTTACCTATAGACAGAATTGAAATTAGGAGTCTATAAAATATGTAAATGTATGAAATATAAAAATTTGGTATTCCAGGTCATAATCATGAAAAGCAAAGTAGTATAAAATGGTGGATTAGAAACTAATATTTTAAAATTTCCCAAGTATCCTTTCAAAATCAAATTTCAAACGCTTAATAAAATATACCACAGAACTCTAAAAAAAACCCCAAAACATGCCAGTTGGTGGCATATACAGGACCACCATCAGAATCAAAACCCCATGGCTGACCGCCATAACTTTTTATATCATATATGTCAAGTAAATCGTTATTTTTTTTTTAAATTAAAAACCTACCTCTCTTTTATCTCTAATTGAAGAATTAAGTGATAACTGTCGATCATATTGGTTGTAATAATTGTCCTTCTCTGCCAAGAAATCCATCTGTAATTTCTGATACTGTTGAGCTAAACGTAGATTTTCTGCTAGGGAAACATCTTGTAGTTTCTGGAAGACAAATATATAGGTATATTTCATTAAAATCATTTTAAGTTACTTCTGGATTTATAGCATTTGAATCATCTAAAAGTATATTATATATTCCATAAAAACAATAAAACCAAAAAAGATGCTTCCCCTGACAAAAATATGCTCCTTGGATTCATAGTTTTCCTTCATGATGCGGTTTGTTGTTGTTTCACATTGATTTATCAGAGTCTGTCTACCTTTCGCTGCCCCCTCTTTTCTGGACTTCCTTCCAGGATGCTTTAGGAAGGGCCCAGTCCTGGAAGGCTCCACACAGTCTCCTAGCAACCTTCTTCCATTTTCCCACCCCTTTTTCCTTTCTTCAAGCTCCATTGCTCAAATAGGTTGAAGACAGTTGGGAGTTTAGAACCCTACATCCAGAAATTTCAGAGTGGTGGCACTCCCAAAAAAACACTCAAAACAGAGAGAAGGAAAGAGTAAAAGGCAGGAGCAAGGACTCAACATTTAGAAGCATCCATAATAGCACAACTAGAGCCATTATTTCTTACTAGTATTATTTAGTTGCATTAAAGGTTAAATCTGCTTTTGTGCATAGTTGAGAACTTTGTAACACACTTATGACTATGTCCAATCTAATATGAACCACTTAGAATAGAACTTTTGCAACATTACCTGCTAGCAACTAGGGGCCGATCTCTCATTTTAAATTGGATGTATTAATTCAGCTTAACTACTGATCCTTTTTATATTTCTAGCACAGACATTTCTCTTACTCCTTCAAAAAATATGGAATCATCAACAACCGTAAGTATTTTCAAACTTGTATTTCTTCTGATGGGAATGTATTCTAAGCAAAAAGCTTTATTCATTACAACATTATTTATAGTAGCAAAAAGTTTTCAAAACACTTAAATGCAGATTAATCATGATAATGATAATGATGATGAAATAACTAGACATGAAAATAAAACACTGTGAAGCAACGAAAAAATGTGATTGCCATTACATCAAACCTTTAGTATAAGTTATTATAAACATACTGTGGTATAAGAATGTGCATAGATAAAATGTAATTCAGCAGAAAATTGTCTGTACAAGTATTTCTGTATTTACACACTTGAAGATTTATTAAGGTAAACAAACATATTTCCCATTAAAGCCTGGTATCCATATTGATCCTTAATGATCAATACTATGCTATGTCATAGCTGTTGTTCAAAAAAGCCAAAATGATGAGCTGAGAACCATTTTAAATGTTCTTGTCCTGATTGTGGCACAATAATTTAATCTTAAATTATTTTAAAAATGAAAATATTTACTTGATAGAAACTTCTATCTAGTAAACTTGCCTAAATTTACATAGAGTTATCTTTCAGTAGGAGGACAAAGTATCTATGGTTATTTTTTATTTGGTGCAAATACTTTCAAAACAATGGTTACAATTTTTAAAAATATATTTTTTATCGATTTTTTACAGAGAGGAAGGAGAGGAATAGAGAGCTAGAAACATTGATCAGAGAGAAACATCGACCAGCTGCCTCCTGCACACCCCCTACAGGGCATGTGCCCGCAACCAATGTACATGACCTTGACTGGAATCGAACCTGAGACCATTCAGTCCACAGACCGACGCTCTATCTACTGAGCCAAACCAGTTTCGGCACAATTCTTTTTGATATCTTATAACTAATATTAAAATCTAATCCTCAAGTGGTTAAATTGGAACTTCGATAAATGTTCTTTAGGCAGAAGAAGGAATCAGGCTGAATTTATTTGTTGCTTGATTGAATATAAACATATATCTGATCCCTGCAATATTCTATTTCTCAACTACATTTCTTGCAAGCCTTAGATGGCTACTTTAAACATGGAATTTGAGAGGAATGCTATAAAAGTGGGAAGATTTGCATTAACCTATTGAATGGCACTTAGTTGGGGATATATTTGACATTTTATCCTTTGCTCAACTGTGTACTCTGCAGTTTTACTTTTAAATAAATATACTTTTAATTAATGTATCACAACATTCTTACTATTTTACATGCCATCATTAGAGTAAATACCAGGAAAATGAATTGTGGAGTTATGCCACCTCACAACTCTGACTGTTTTAATTTTAACCAACAGTATTATAATGTGCAAATGAGACTGAGAGGGAATGATCATTATTGGTAGAAAATGTCCAGGAGAAATAATGCTACCACTACAGAACTGAACATATTATAAAATCCTAATAATAAAGAGGTAATATGTAAATTGAACCTCACACCCTCACAAGATGGCTGGCAGGGGGGTTAGTGAGGGATGACCAAACAACTGAACAAGCAGGCTGTGTGGGATGACCAGGCCCCAGGTGGGAGGGGAGCTGGGGATGACCAGGCTGGAAGGCAGGGCAGTTAGGGACAATCAGGCTGGCACACAGAGATAGTGAGGGGCAATCAGGCCGCAGGGTGGGGGCAGTTAGGAGTGACCAGACAGGCAAGAGAGTGAGCAATTAGGAGCCAGTTGTCCAGGATTGTGAAAGGGATGTCTGACTGCTAGGATGGGGCCTAAACTGGCAGTCAGACATCCCCCTAGGGATCCCAGATTAGAGAGGGTGCAGGCTGGGCTGAGGGGGACACCCCCCTCTCCATGCACAAATTTCGTGCACCAGGCCTCTAGTAATAAAATAATAGCCGTAGAAAATATTTAATACAGGCACAAAAGTTGGGCTGGTGATATAATCAAAGGGTGAGAAGAAAGAAGAAACTAGTAAGAGAAGATGATGACTTTCATGGGCTTTTCAATTCAAACCTAGATGAATCTGACTGTATAACCTGTCTATGTATGGTCATGGCTAAATGTGAACTTAAAAAATGACTTGTTTCTAAAACCACTAGGGGAAACTCTCTGTAGATTAAAGTAACTGCACTGTGAGTTGATTTACAATATTATTTCACTCATTCATTTTCATTTCAGTTACTTATTCATAACTTTTCATTGAGCAATTATTGTACACTGCACTCTGAGATATAACTGTAAGCCTCAAAAACTTAAGGTCTTGTAGGAGAGATTTATATTCAAAATCACACAAAAGTATAATTATAAAATAAACAAAACTTTTGCATTTATTATATTTCTGTATGTTTTAAATTCACCCTAAGAAGGTCTAAATAAAATGACACCTCAAAGCCAGATTTATTGATATTGGTTCCATTCCAATTAACAATGATGATCAAGATGATGCAACATTGGAAGTGTGGCCTGATACGGAGAAGAGACATGGTGAGTATCTGTGAATAGCTTACATGCTGCCTCGGCCGAATGCAGCAGATGCCGCTGCCCATGGAGGCCTGCCGAGGTCCAGCAGACACACTGACCCCGGAGGAAGTCTATGTCCAGGGGAACTGCTTTCTTTTGTAAATTAAGATGGACTGATGGCAAGGAAGATTATAAGAAAAAAAACAACTTAATCTAAGCATTCTAGACAGATGGTTATAATTAAAACATGAGCACTGTACATGTATGTGTAGAAGATGTTTCCATGGCTCCTTTAGGACTATTCAATTGTTACCTGTGACTCCTGCATTAGATTTTCATAGGCTGACCGTAGGACTTTATAATAATACTAGTAGTGTAAACAATAAAGTGTACCCACATATTTAATATCCCACAGTTGCCCAGCATCGTAATAATACCTAGTTCCCAGCCCCCATGTTTCAGGGGCATGAGATCCTTGCACATATGCTCACCCATGACACCACTGAGGTCATCTATTAAGTCTCCCCAGGCCCTGCACATGCCTTTGGCACATTTCTGCCAGTTTGGGGCACTGTGTTGATAGTTTTGCATTCAGGGGTGCTTTGATGTTATTAGAGCAGATTTCTAGAATGTGCTGGGAGCGGGGGTGGGGGCAGATTTTAGGATAAATGAGACCTGGCAGCTGCAAGTCCCTTTGTTAGCACTGCTGCTTTGAAAGTGTTCTTTGTGATTTGTGGGAATGAGCATAGTGAACACAAATGCTGAAATCCATGCTGATTCTCTAACATGCAGTTTACTAAGGGCATCATAGGTGTGTTGAGGTGCTTTGGTATTGCTGCCCCCTTAAAATCTATACACTAATTACTACAGAAACAAGGGTTCTCCCCAGTGTTCCCAAGGAGCCAGTCTGTGAGGATGATATGTGTCGATACCCTGAAGCCTCAGAGGAGCAAGGAACTGTTTTAACTCTCCCAGGACCCCCTTCTTTGTCTGTGCTGCCATGGAAACCAGTCTCCTGTCCAACATGAGCTGTCCAGTAATTAGTCTTGAACATTCTTGATTTTGAAGTGAACAAATCAGTCTTCTGCATCAACATTGTGACATGCCTCAAACTCTCTCTAGGATTGTGTTTGACAAAATCCTCTCTAGTTCTCCAAGTTATTAAAACACACACACACGCACACACACACACACACACACACACACACACACACACACAACTTATTGAGCAACTTATATACACAGAGCACTCGGGGAGACACAGAGAGATCAAACAACAAATTTAAGACACTGTTGGATGACAGTGACCGCACTTCAGCTGACCGTTAAACCTCTGCCAGAGACCAGAGCGAGACTCTCCATAGCTACGCCACCCAGTGAGCGGATCCCATTACACACAGGACTCCTTACCTCAGATGTCTGGCGGGTTTATACATTCAGCTACTGCCCATTTACTCAAAAACTCACCAATGGACACTGTGACACTGCCTCTCAGAACTCAGAGAAAGGGTTACTAGGTATTTACAAACACTTTGCATGAACCCTGTTTGTTCCTGATTATTTTTGCCTCTGTTCCATGTATATATTTGACCAGGAATTATTGATAACAGCATGAAAATTTATACAATTTCAGGGCCGAAGGAGCTAGCAATCAGATAAGAGAACTGAGGCATTCACAAAGCTAACTACGTCAGAATGCATGCTACATGACAAAGGGTGAGGACATATCCAAGTAAGAATTTTAGTTCCACGGGAGATCCTTCCAGTGAGAACGGTGAGCA